TTACGGTGGGCAAGAGACGCATTTGAATTATTATTTTGTAAAATGTGCCTTTTGTGTTATACATATGTTATTTAGATTCCTTGAGGTTTCTCCTGTGTATTTTTGTGTCAATCATTACAGGCAATGGAGAAAAATCCTCCTTCAGGTTTTAGCGTATTGTTTTGTTTAATATTGACTAAGTCTTTTATTATTTTGGATTCAGTCCCAACAGATTTTATGCTGAGTTTATCTAATTTTTTTCGATTGTAGATATGATACAATTAGGAGGCAGAATAATATATTTTTGATTCATTGGCTTTCTCAGGAAGAACCATTCTCTCGTATTATATACCATACCTATGAACGCTAATTGGTATGTCCCAATCTTCATGTATACGTTAGATATCATTGTAAGTGTGTGTGTGTGTAGTGGGGGGGGGTAATATGCTGTCTAAGTAGTCCACCAGTAGAATTGGTTTACCAACAACACGCCGCTGGTGATTGTTTTATTTTGTTGATGTTATTAAGATTCTCATTTCATTTCCAACATCCGTTTTCATTATTATTCATATATTGTTGGCCACAAATATGCTTACACACACACACACACACACACTTATATATATATATATATGTTATCATTAAATCCTAGGAAGATAACAAGCAGACAGACAGAGGGTACAACTTTTATTTATATATATATATATATATATATATATATATATATATATATTTAATTAATTCATCGAGTCTGATAGAAACCTCTACAGAATGCAGAAAGCACTGGACAGCCGTTTCGTCCTATATTTGGGACTCATCAGCAGTGCGCATCCACTACCGAGAATTGAAACCCTGACAGTTAGGTTGTCAAGCGAACACCATACCAACTGTTCCAAATGGGCCTCAGTGACGAAGAGATTCCAAATCAGACTCAACTAAACGCCGCTCGCTCACATATTCCGTGGCGGAACTCAACTGAGTTCTCTGTGACCATAGGACTGTGCCCCCGGGAGCCACGACTACTCTCACCAAGCCGCTACCAACTGGAGCATTAGAAGCCGGTTCAAGCGAAGATAAACACAGATAGTAATTAGTAGGAGGATTTGATAATGATATTTAATTAATTCATCGAGTCTGATAGAAACCTCTCCAGAATGCAGAAAGCACTGGACGGCCGTTTCATCCTATATTTGGGACTCATCAGCAGCCTCTCGAAATAATATATATATATATATATATATATATATATATATATATATATATATATATATATATATATATAATGTTATTGAAAATATATATATTTTTGAAACTACATTACCCAGTATACGTGGATAAGTATATTTCTTTATAATCGAAGGAAGTTTACGGGAAGTACACCCCTCCACACCAAAAATTGTGCACCCGTTGATATAAATTTGTAGAAGTGAATGACGCTTCTCGAAATACTTAAGATGGAGTTCTCATAGGCAAAATCAAATGAAAGATTTGGGACGTCAAGTTGAGCAGGAAGTCCTCAATCATGGAATACAATAGATATCTGTTGCGACAATTCAACTCTCATAGCAATGTTTAAATCTGCTCATCAGTTCATCTAAATCAAGTACTACATCAATACATATCAATGGTGTCAGAACTAAGCAGTTTTTGCATACCTCCACGCACTGAAAATGCTTTTCTATTTGATTTAAGTTAAATTTATATTTGAACAAAGGAATAACTCCTATCCAAAATATAGAAGGAGAAATCCAGAAGATGAAGGTCACATCATTGAAATGCATCATATTTCTCCACTAATTATAACAATGATTTTAAATTAATCATCATCAAAAACGTGACATGTAGCAAGACAATTCGGCAAGTATACACACACACACACACACACACACACATATATATATATATATATATATATATATATATATATATATATATATATATATGCACATGTTGTCGCTATATCACAGCACATCACAGTGGCTAGACATTCGATTGTTTCAAGGCGTGATCGAAACTCGACAGATTTGGCACTCAGGCACTCTACCCCTAAGCTGTCGGCGCACGGCAAAAATTTTTTTTAACGTATTATATACGCGATGTATAAAACGATAAATCAACAGTCAAAAAACCAGCCTTCGGTTATATATTTATATATATATATATATATATATATATATATATATATAATATATATATTTTTTTTTAAAATGAAAGAAATATAGTTGACCCTACAATATCGCATTAATAAATAAGCGTAGTCAGGCTGCGTGACCGATAACAAATCTAAAGCTATGTTGCGTTCGGTAACAGGGAAAGATTTAGCAAGAAGCAGATTGATGTTAGATATGTAGATTTTTTTTTTTCAAGAAGTCAATAATATTTTCTGAAATATTTATTTTTTTAAAATTGTTTCAGAATTTTTATTAATGCAGATATCTACGGAATCTAAAAATGTATTTGAGGTCTTCTGGTGCATAATCATTCCTCCACCTCCGCTTCGCAATAAACTCTACTCGCAAAACAACCCGGCAGCGTGCAGCAGGCGGGTGTATGGACCCCGAAAAACGTAAACACATTTTAAAATGTTTCGATTTATAAGCGGCAGTATATTGATGAATTAAGAGCTGAATTAAAAGAGATCGAATTTGGTGAAATTGAACAAAAATAGTGTTTAAATATGCTTTTATTTTTATCACTGTTGTTGTTTTTCAATCGATCAAAAAGAATAAATCAAATGAAAACTTTTGACGGATATCAATGAAGGCAAGAAAAGAAGCAGTAAATAAAAAAACAGACATTGAGAGAATAATATATATATATATATATATATATATATATAAATGTCTATATATATATATATATATATATATATATATATATATATATATATATATGTATGCAAAAATAAATATATATAAATATATATATATATATATTCTTGATATAATTAAAAGAAAGAATTTAATGATATATAATCCTTTGTTCTTATTGATATATTTATTTTAAATTTTTCCAGGATGTTGAAAACAGTGCTCAATGTAAATCTAACAATTAAATATTTATATTAATTTATTTATATATATATATATATATATATATATATATATAAATTCTTAATTTATAATATAAATTATATTTAATAAATGGCTATTTTTGTAGTGATTTTATAACATATTTATGTTATAATTTTTTATAAATAATTTATATATATATATATATATATATATATATATATATATATATATATATACAATGAGAACAAATATATTACATTTCCAACGACCGTAACTATTAATTTAAAAGAGGATTCAATTCATAGTAGAGCAAGATTAATATTAGTTAAATATTACAACCAAAAATATATGAATCGCTAAACAATGGCAGTCGTATTTCAACGCATAACGATGCGTCTTCTCAAACGATTATAAATTACTGTCCCACAATTTACTTTTGCAGTAATTTACAATCAATTACTGGCCTATAATTACTGAAATAATTTACAATCACTCAGAAGACGCATTTTTTTATATATATATATATATATATATATATATATATATATATATATATATATATATATATATATATAGACAGAAAAGAACTAAAAAAGAAAGATTTATATATATATATATATATTTAATATTATTTTATATGAACTAAAGAAAGAAGTTCAGAGACAAATAATTTAATATTATATTAGTTTTTTTTTAAGTATACGCTCCATTTATTTTAAACGGTATTATATTTTGTCTTCTAGCCAGCATATTCCATCAAGTTCTATTTTTCGTAGCCGAATGGACAATGCACATCGGATTAAATGACGATGTCTCCTATCTTGCACAGGCAACAAAAATCCGGTTACGAATCGCAGTAAGATTTCTCGAATACGCAGTCAATAGACGAAATAAAGTATTGTTCAAAATAAACGTAGCGTCTACACAAATAAAATTATCCACTAAAGTTAACGTTGAAATTAATAATAAAAAAAAATATTAGATAATAAATTAAAATCTATAAATTCTTCACACACACACACACACATATATATATATATATATATATATATATATATATATATATATAGAGAGAGAGAGAGAGAGAGAAAGATAGACAGACAGAGATACACAGAGACGAAATAGGCAAACAAACTCTAAAATAAAATAAAAGTTAGAATTAACACAAAATATGAATATGTTACAAATAGCTGATTGATGTTATATTTAACACTCAGAGTTACTTGGGCTAAAATTTATTTCATGCTCAAATATTTTTTGAAATATAAACGTTTTTCCTAAAATAAATATATGTTTCTATGCCATCATTTACATATCATTTCATTTTTCTTATTTAGTAGTTATATATTTATATTTTACTTGCCTTGTGGTTAAGTATTATATTATTTATTATGGATTGCTATATTCATATATATATATATATATATATATATATATATATATATATATATATATATATATATATAGATGAGAGAGAGAGAGAGAGAGAGTGTGAGTGTGTGTGTGTGTGTGTGTGTACAGAGGTGGGTAAACCTAAAATGACTAATGTTTTTTTTTTATTTTTTAAAACGTTGCTCGACATCGAAGCATACACAGGAAATAAAAAAATTTTTCCTAAATTTACCATCTAGATGTAAAGAAAACAAGTTTCAAACTGCCTCATCTGAGCTAAAAAATTTATATTAAGAATATATATATACCCCAAACTTTTGGAGTGCGACTTAATTTCGTCGTTTGGAATATTTAAACTATCAAGCACGAAATATTACTTATCATCATTTAACATTTTGAAATGGATGAGTTGGTAAACTGGCGAACTTCAAAGCATTCCAAACCTCTGCTTTGATGTAATAAAGTATACATAGTTATATATCATATATATATATATATATATTTATATATATATATATATATATATATATATATATATATATATATAGGTAAGAAAAATATAGTTGTTTGAGCGAATGGAACTGGACCTAGCAATGAGTTTGTATTATGGTATTATTATGATTCTGAGACGAGGAAAATGCAGAAGAAGAAGAAGAAGAAGAAGAAGAAGAAGTAGAAGAAGAAGAAGAAGAAGAGAAAGAGAAAGAATCGAAAGAAGAAGAGAAAGAAAAAGAAGAGAAAGAAGAAGGAAATAAAGAGAATGACGACGACGACGAAGAAGAAGAAGAAGAAGAAGAAGAAGAAGAAGAGAAAGAAGAAGACAAAGAAGAGTAAGAAATAGAAGAAGAGAAATAAGAAATAGAAGAGAAAAAAGAAAAAATACAAGGAAAAAGAAGAAGAAGAAGAAGAAGAAGAAGAAGAGAATGGAGGAGATGAAGAAGATTGACACGTGACAACAAAAGGGACAAAGTGAAATAAGAAGGCATGAGACTATTCATGTGATGTAAAAAAAGAAAAAAAGAAACATTTACCGTTCATTTTGCTCTGTGCATCAAGTTAGGGTTAATAATAAATAGTGAAAGTCGAAAACTACTACAGTGAAAGAATGGGGATGAAAGATAGAAAGAAAGAATATCAAGTATTTATTAAAGAATAACATTAAGATAAGACGACTTAATAAACGAATAAGATAAAGAAGTGTAAAATAGTCATCATAAGATGGAAAGAAAGAACGAAAGAAAAGAAGGTACGAAGATAGGAAGAAAGAAAGAAAGAATAAAGAAAGAAAGAAAACTATATGATTTTTTTTCTAAGCGTTTCACCCCAAGCAAGGCGAGAAAACACTAGGACGCAAGGGGTTACAGAAGATTTGGAGCAAGGTCAGATAGGAGTGATAGAGGAAAGGATGAGGAGAAGGGTAGTGGATAGATCAAGGCAACTGGAGATGTCGATTGACATTACATTTGAATAGTTGGAGATTATAGCTCTCAGGGAAACTGGAATAGGGAAGGGAGTTCCAAAGGCGAGAGGTGCGAGACATGAAGCTATTGGAGTAGAAGAGACGGCTACATTTAGTAGTTTCGACAGTGAAAGGGTGAGAGCGTGATGCCAGGCTCGTAGGGCGCTTGAACTCATGCAGTCTGGGAACCAGCGAATGCAGCTCCTCGGAGCAATTACCATGACAGTATTTGTAAAAAAGACAGAGAGAGGCGACGGCGCGTCTGTGAGAGAGTGACTGTAGACGAGATGACAGAACAAGGCCCATTATATTGCATATCCGCCTCTGGAGCCTATCAAGAACCCCGAGGCAAACAGAAGGTGCACCAGACCATATATGGCAGCAATACTCCATGCAAGGGCGTATTGTTGATTTGTAGATCTGGAGGATCGATTCCGGGGAGAAGCTAAAATTAATTCATAAAAGAAAATTGATGCACGAAGTAATTACTGTAAGAAAGAAATATAAACAGAAATTAATGACAGTGAAAACGAAATCTACAGAAGAATGAATCACTCTAAGACAAAATGAATAAAAAAGGAAGCCGTTATAGGAAATAATTATTTTCAGAAAGAAAGAAAACTGAAAGAAAGAAAAATGAATAGGAAATGATTACTCTAAAATGAAAGATAGAAAATAAAGGAAGGAAGAAATGAATAGGAAATTATATATGAAATAATTACTCTAAAAAGAAAGATCGAAAGGAAGGAAGGAAGAAATGAATAGGAAATTATATATGAAATAATTACTCTAAAAAGAAAGATCGAAAGGAAGGAAGAAATGAATAGGAAATTATATAAATGCCTGAAAGATCCTGGAAGGAAGAAATGAATAGGAAATTATATATGAAATAATTACACAAAAAGAAAGATCGAAAGGAAAGGAGGAAGGAATGAATAGGAAATTATATATGAAATAATTAATCTAAAAAGAAAGATAGAAAGGAAGGAAGAAAGGGATAGGAAATTATATATGAAATAATTACTTTTAAAGGAAGATACAAAGGAAGAAATGAATAGGAAATTATATATGAAATAATTACTCTAAAAGAAAGATAGATAGGAAGGAAGAAATGAATAGGAAATTATATATGAAATAATTACTTTAAAAATAAAGATACAAAGGAAGAAATGAATAGGAAATTATATATGAAATAATTAATCTAAAAATAAAGATAGAAAAGAAAGAAGGAAGAAAGGGATAGGAAATTATATATGAAATAATTACTCTAAAAAGAAAGATAGAAAGGACGGAAGAAAGGGATAGGAAATTATATATGAAATAATTACTCTAAAAAGAAAGGTAGAAAGGAAGGAAGAAATGAATAGGAAATATATGAAATAATTACTCTAAAAAGAAAGAAAAAAGAAAGGAAGGAAGAAATATATAGGAAATTATATATGAAATAATTACTTTAAGAAAGAAATAAAGAAAGACAGGAATAAATGATGCAAGAATATATAAAAATATGTTAAATAATCACACTAAGAAAGAAAAGAAATAAAGAACCAAAGAAAAAAATATGAAAAAGAAAAATTTTTTTTTAAAATTGAAAAATGACAAAAATGTCTAAGAAAGAAAGAAAAAATGAAAAAAGAAATTAAAGTAAAAAATAATAAAAAAGATCTATGAAATAATTACAATAAGAAATTAATAAATAAATAAGAAAAAATAAAAGAAAGAAATAAGTAAGAATTATTCTGAAAAGGAAATAAAACTAAGATACGAGAGAAATGAAGAAAATCGTAAAAAGAAATTATTCGAAGAAAGAAAACGGAGAAAAATATGGAACATCAAGATGAGGAGTAAATGTGTAAAAGAATGAAAACAGGATTGAAAATAAAAAAGAAAGAAGAAAACGAAAGAAAATAGAGAAGAAAGAAGTTAAGCTAAAAAATAGAAGAGAAAAAGAAAAAAAAAAAAAAAAATTCTTTAAAATAAAATACAAGGTCCAATGAATATATCTGCCTTTCCATCTAAAAACAAACAGGCAGTACATAATAAGTCATATCAAGCAAATGTGGCGTTAACAAAAAAAGATAAATGTGTTCTGTTGAACTTTAAATATATTATGAGAAATAAATCTCCAAATTCAAACATCAGAAAATATTTGGTAGATTCCCAAGATGTATTTAACTCTGACCTCCTTACCTTCCGCCATCAATTCTAAATGAGCAGGAAAAATATTAATTTCCGGAAAAATTCCTTTCATAAGTAAATGATGGCTGGAAGGTGGGGGGAAGACTGGCCAGAACCGGTAATAAAATTTGATAAAGTAAAGCAACATTTTGGTAACGGATTTTTCCCAACGTTTTAAAAAAAAGGTGAAAGACGAAGAAAGAAAGAAAGAAAGAAACAAAGAAAGAAAGAAACAAACAAACAAACAAAGAAAGAAACAAAGAAAGAATGTTTAGACATTAATTTCTGTAAATCTACGAGAAAAAGAAATCAAAAAATAAATATATAAGATTGCGTGAAAATAGAAATTTTATTTAGATTGAAAAATAAAATTTAACATAATACAAGGTGTTTGGGATGGTGTCGGGTCTGCACTATAAAATAAAAATTTGCAAGTCATGATTGAAATGAAAAAAAAAATGAAAAAAAATGACTGATGTGAAATTTTTGCAGAATGTCTTCCTGGTTCAACCAATTCTCTATATGGTTGCAAGAAGTTTACCTCGTTAGGCCGAATTTTGATCTTTCGGTAAGAGAGAATAGGCAGGCCGGTGGACGAAAGATGAAAAATGAAAATCACAACCAAATGTACTGGGTGGGATGAAAAAAAATTGTAAAGAGAAGAAAAAGACAAATGAATGAATAAAAATGATTTATCCCCCCCCCCAAAAAAAACGAATATTGTCTTATAGTTAGAAAATAAAGGCGGAATCGGTAAAGACAGAAATATCTATCAAATGACAAAAACTTAAAAGTTCCTGAATGTAAAAGTAAAATGTAGAGTTCATTAAAACCGAGATAAGGAGAAAAATGGATTCTTCTTTTATGTTTAGATTAATGTCCCTTTCGGGCGTAGGGAGATAATATATTAAAATGATCTTCCTAAATATGTTTGTAAATCATCAAATATAATAAATATAAAATTTTTTCCTCTGTCCTTTATTTTTTTTTTAAATTAGAAGATATCTTCGAAAAGAATAGGAAAAGACATCTTTGTACAAAATAGACATGAAGAAAAACAGAAAGCAAAAAAGAAAAAGAGAAAAAAAGAAATACACTGAGTGATTACAAGAACTTCGAATAGAATAAGAAAGAAAGAAAGAAAGAAAAGATTTAGAGATTAGATGACATCTTCGAATAGAATAGGAAAAAAAGAATGAAAGAAAAAAGAAGAAAGAAATAGACTAGATAGAGAGATTAGATGACATCTTCTTCTTCTTCTTCTTCTTCTTCTTCTTCTTCTTCTTCTTCTATCCGATTATCTCGAATCTACTTAAGGAACAGGCAGATGAAATTTCAGTGGCACGTCTTGAGGAAGAAAAGCCTGAGAATTTGATACTCACGGGAAAGCAAAGGATTGATATATGTGGCTAAAATAAGCAAGTGGATGGCAGAACGAGATCTCGAGAATTTGAGAAAAATTTTTTTTAAAATAAAGGGGATATTGAAACAAATTTAGAAAAAATTATTTAAGTCCTGAAAGGATGTCGATACAAAAAATGAAAAAAAATTTGAATTAATTTTATTTAGGTATTCAAAAAATGTTGAAAAAAAAAAGAGAAAAACACAAAAAGGATGGTTCTTTGAGACCTGTTTAAATAATAATTTAAAATTCAATTTTTCCCAAAATGATACCTAAAATGATTGGTTATTTTCGTTCATTCTTGATGTTGACAAAAAAAAATACTTCAAACTGAATAAAAAGTACAAAAATTGCATTACTGTATTTTCCTGGTCAAATTATTTTTTTTTTTTCCAACATAGTAAAATTTTTCGGAAATCTGTAAAAAATTTATTGTGACGTCGTTTCAGCGCCAATTTTCTATCCCTTTATCTAAAACGGCAATTGAACATCAAAAAGACCATGGTCCTATCCTGGTATTACCAGATTTGACGTCCAAACGTGACGTCTTCGCCGCGGCGCCAGCTGTTCGCTCCTTTTGTCCAAACGTGACGTTCTTTCCCAACTGATAATTCCTCTGAATCTGGTTATACATATATCCCTGCCGTTCCCAACCTGCTTTCAACGCCTGGTTACCAAAAACGTTGTTGCCCAGTCTGCTACCCACGTTTGAATTGATCTTAACAGATTCAAACAGGGGTTTCTATTTCTTGATTCAACCTGATAACATACTATTATGCATGAAAAAAAAATAAAATTGTAACTCAAAAAGGTCATAAGTATCAAAGAAAAAGGTAACAAACTTTTTTATGTCTATTCTTCTGTACATATGATTGCATCTATCTCCCGAACCGTTCTTGTGGAATAAACGACGCATTTCGACTCTCTAAGAAAAATTGTTTGTGTGTCGTTGGACGAAAGTCCTTAAATCAAACTTATTTCTGTATCTGGTTCTAAGTTGCAATCCAACTATTTAATCTTGGTTGAAGAAAAGTCAAAATTTTGCTGAAAAATCAGCTATCTTGACGCGGCTGTTTCAACACTGGGCACTCATCTCTGAAAAATTCAATATATTATTTCTCAGGGCCAAACGAACTATTCTTTCCCTTATAAATTAAACAGAACTGAATAATAAATCAATTTGAGTCCGACGAACTCAATTTTGTGCCATGCTAATTTCGACGAACTTTTCTGTCTTGAAGGGGCTTTTTTATTGACGCAGTCAAAAACCAGGGCAGGGTCTGTTTTCAAATTCCTCGATAATTCTAAATACATAAATCTTTTTTATTTCTGGTTAAAGATTTTCCAAATTTTTCATTTTTTATAACTTTTTCTCACTCCCAATTTCTCTGTGCTTCTGAGGGGCGTACAAATCCCCATTCATTGAAGCTTCTCATACTTATCATCTGGATTTTTATCGACTGATTTCCTTTACGTCATCTGACCATCTCTCAGCCAATGAGGTCTTGGTCAATCTTTAAAAAATTCGTGCACTCATGTGATCTTCATTTTCTTTTGCAATGACGTCTTAGTCAGGCGTGAACAACCCGTAAATTTTTTTAAAGGTTTGGAAAAAATTAATAATCTCCCTCTTTTTTTTTTTCATTCAAATCGCCGTTATAACATGGACGGATAATGTGATAACAAAAAACAAAAATTGTAACAACTGGCGTTTGCCAAACAGTTTATCGGTAATGCAAATAATTCTTGGATTATCTTTTAAAAAACAAACAAAATTTTCTCAACTGAAAATTTATTTCGTCTCCAAAATAAAATAAAAATATTTTTTTTCCTTCAATTCATGTGTCTGATAACAAAATTTTATTATCATCCAATGTAAAAAAAAAAAAAAACAAAAAAAAACTTAAAATGTTTAATAATTTTGTGTGGGATTTTAATTTTCATAAGAATCAAGTGTTTACACCTGTGTTTTTGGTTTCAAAATCCAACGTTCCCAAGAAATTCATCCTGGTGACATCTCCATACAATTCCATTTGGTATATACGCAAAATCAAACATTTGTTCGCAAAAATATGACCTTAAAATTTCTATTTCGAAATCTCATTTCAAAAATGAAACTCTTTTCCATTTGACACCTTCAAAAAAAAATAATTTCTTTTTTTATTCTTCACCCTTAAGCCGTGTGTGTTTGTTATCAACATCCGTCCGCATTACTTTTTCCTTTTAATTATTTTTTCTTCTTCCCTTTTTTATTTCAAATTTGAATGCATGGTTAATTACGATCCTCTTGCAAAAAGAAAGAATTATTCTTAAAACCTAAAAACATTTCGGCCTTAAATAATCCTCAAATGGTTGATAAACCGTAAAAAAAACAAATCATATATCTATAAATATATCTTTCAAATCGCCTGGATGCATGGTGCCACAGTATGACGCCTAATTTACTGTTATGGGACCTTACCCATAATAACATAATGGACTATTCCATACGTAATAAATACTGCGCCTCAAGAGGAAGCAGGGAGTTCAGTCCGAAGTCGGGCGACCGGCTGATCGGCTGATCGGTTGAACTCTCTGCCTTCGGGCGGGGAGGAACCCGAACGAGGCTACGCCGAAGGGCGGAGTCTCTTTCGGGGAGGTAAACCGACCCTGAACCCGTTTATACGGGTTCAAAGGGCATATTTTTGGCCGAGCCCACGGGCTCGGAGATCCCACGTTAAACCGGCCTTGTGCCACATGATGCCCTCGTGGGGGGGTGACTAAATATCGTTCAGTCTGAAGTCTGGAGTTCCGTCAGAAGTCAGTCAGTCAGTCAGAGTCTCTCCGTCAGTCAGTCAGGCAGTCCGAAACAGAGTCGCGTTCAGACAATTACTTTCAGACATTGGAATACAGATACTGTTCGAGACTACATTGTTCTCTCTACTAAACCTGATTGTTCGTACTAACACTTTCTACTTCTCTGTATATATCCCTGTTTGTAATATATCTGTGTTATTCAATATACGTGTTCGAGTTCTTCTTTATTGGTTCTACCTTGGACTATCACCGTGGTACAAGGAACCGGACCATAACATTTTCATAAAAAAAAAAAAAATAATATCTAAAATTTCATAATTGAATTAATGAAAAATCTTTTGTTCACCAATTTAAAAAAATTTAAAAAATGAATTAAAATTTTTAAAACTTCTTCTTCTTCTTTTCGTTTTTATTCTTAAATAACTTGTTAAAATAAATTTTTCTTTTAAAAAATAAAGGAATGAAAATAAACAAAAAAAAACTCAATGACGTTTTCAAATGTATATGTATAATTAAATAGTTTTTTTTTATCTTTAAAAAAAAAAAAAAATTTAAAATTAAAAAAATAAACAAATATAAAAAGAATTTAACTTTATTATTGGAATATATAAAAAAAAAAAAAAAAATGAATTAAAAAAAGAAACAAATTTTTAAAAATTGGAAATTAACAAAAAATTAATGCTAAATTAATAATAAAAAAAAAAAAAACAAAAAAATCTACAATGATTTTATTTTTCTTTTGAAATAATGAATATAAAAAATATATATTTATATTTCTGTTAAAATAAATCAAAATTATTTTTTAAAAAAATATAAATAAAAATCTACAAATAAAAAGATTTAAATCTTTGGGTTTTTATTGCAAAATTTAAATGAATTTTGATAAAAATCCGTAAATAAATACATTTCAGGTTAAATATTTAAATTTCTTCACTATCGTTAAAAAACAAAAAATAATATATAAAAATTATTCACAAATAAAACACAGATATATATTTAAAATACAAATTTTTGACATTTTAAATTTAAATTTTATATATTATTTAAAAAAATATATATATATATAATTTATATTTTAAAATTTTAAATAAATTATTTATATATATATAAATGATTTATAAATTTTTCAAAATTTTTTTGATTAAAATATTTTTTTTAAAAAAAATATTATTGAAGTAAAAATGAAATATTTTCGATCTTTAGAAGAATTTCTATTAATGATTTAAAAAAAAAAAAAAAAATATAAATGTTTTATATTTATTTTATATTTGAAAAGAACATTTAAATTTTTTTTATTTTGGGTAAAAAAATAGGAAAATATAAATAAAAAATAATGAATTTATAAAAAAAAAAAATTTGATTAAATTATTTTTTTTTTCTTAAGGTAAAAAACATTTTTGTTTTTTAAAAAAAAAATTATATAAAAATTAATTAAATGATATAAATTTACATTTTTTTTTTTTATTTTAATAATTCTATTAATTTTTTTAAAAAAATTCCAAGATTTTTTTTCTGTTGATAAAATTTTTCTGTTTGAATTGGGTTTTTATTTTTAAAAATTAAATTAATGAAAATTTTATTTATTTTCCTTTTTAATAAATGTTTTCATTATTTTTCAATTAATATTTTTATTAAATTATTTATAATTTTTTTATTTTTTAAAAAAAAAGATATTTTAAAAATATTTTTTCTATCATATTTTATAGTCATTATTTTTTGACAAATGCACTTAATCAAAATCATTTTTTAAATAAATGTTTTTTTTAAGATCAAAATGAATCAAAGTTTTAGAATGATTTTTTTCAAAATATTTTTAGCTTAGTTTAATGACAATTTTTCTTTGGGAAAATACATTTTAATGTATTTTTTTTTTTGTTTTCATAAATAATTTTGCCGTAAAAGAAAAAGTAAATTTTTATATGGGTTTTCTTTTTTTGATTAAATTTTTAAAAATCTTAAAAATATAAAATTCATTGTTATTTTGTTATTTTTTTAATAATTTTTTTTTGACATTTGATTAATTCAACCTAAAAAATGTTTTTTTAAATAAAAAATCAATGAAAGGTTTTTCAAAAATAAAAAAAAAGAATAAAATGTTTTGTAAAATATATTTACCCGTTTAAATTTTAAAAAAAAAAAAATTAGAAAAAAAAAAAATGCCACAAGTATTAAAAAAAATTACTCAAAACCTTCCTTCATTTTTTCAAAATATCCTTGAATCGTCAAATTAATTTTAAAATATTTAATTAAAAAAAAAAAAATCAACTCACAAATGGCAATGTAAATTTGAAAAAATCAAATTTTTTAATAAATTCATTGAAAAATGTATGAATCCTCCAATAAATAAAAATATCTACCTTTAAATAATATATTGATACGCGTTATACGGGTATATATTAATAATTTTAAGGAAAACCGTTTCAAATCTTCTTTAAATGATATAAAAATATAAAAATATAATTTTAAATAAATTTTTTTTATTTCAAAAAATTTTTTTCATAATGAAGAAAATAAAAAAGGTTCCGAAAATTTTATATTTTCAATTTTTTTAAATAATATTTATTTATAATAAGTTTTATGTTTTGAAATTTCGGTTAATAAATATTTAAATTTATTAAAATTTTTTTAAATTAAAATTTTTTCCAGGTATTCATAAAAATAATTTTAATGTATTATTAATATACATAAATTTATCTTTTATTTAAAATTTTTATCATTTATTCCTGAAAATTTTAGAATAATTTTTTTTTAATGCATTGGAATTTTAAATTTTTTATAATATATATTTTTCATATTCATATATATATATATATATATATATCCCTTTTATTTATTAAAATAAATAAATTTCTATTTCATAAATCTATATAAATATATTAATTATATATTAATCAAAAAATTTATAGATTGATTTATTTTAAATATTTTGTTCATATTATTTTAATTTTTATTTTTTAGCTTTTTTTTGATAAGTTCATTTTTTAAATTTATTAATTGAATTGTTTTTAAACAGATGTAAATTTAATAAAATTGACAAAAAATATCAAAGATATTTTTTTTAAATTTAAAAAAAATAAAATAAATTTAAATTTTTAAAATCGGATTTGTAAAATTTAATTTCTATATTAATCAATAAATATAAATTTTAAAGAAAATAATATAATTTCAATTTTTCAATTCATATATTTTTTTATATTTTTTTTTAAATAAATTTTCAAAAAAATTTTTATTTAAAATGGTTAAAATATTTTTTTTTAAAAATTGAATAATCATAAATAAATTTAAAAAAATATCATCATAATAATTTTTAAATATTTATTTATAATATATATATATATATAATATATATATATATTTATATTTATATATAAAAATATTATTGGTATAAATATAATATATTTTTAATAATTTTTTAATTTACAATTTTATGATATTATGGAAAATTTGTTTTTTTTTTTAATATCAATTTATGAATAAAAGATTTGAATTTATATTATATTTAATCAAATCGAATTAAATATGTTTAAAATTTATATAAAATATATATAAATCATAAATACAATATTCAAAATTTTATTTTCATTTTTTTAGACTTTTTTTTTTAAAATTTTAAAATTTTCGCAACTGAATTTATGAAAATTGTATATATATTTATAAAAAATATTTATAAATATATAATGGTTTTTTGTGTGTGTTCTGTGTGTGTGATTTAATGATAAAAATTTGTAAAAAATGCTATTGTATTCTTTAATTGATAATGGAGATAAATGATTTTGCATTTGTAAAATTTAATTCTAAAATTAAAATTTTTCAAAAATATAATTGACTTAATTTAAAATTTTGATATTAAAAATTGTTTAAAAAATATTTATTAAAAATTTTTTTTTTTTTCTTTTAAAAAACACTATTCTAAAAAAATATTTGATAAAATTTTTCAAAAAATATAAAAATTTTTTTTTTTTTTAAATATTATTATAATATAAAAATTTTTTTGTTTTTTATTTTATGTCCAAATGATCAAAATTTAAATAATTTAACATTTATTTGATTCATTCAAACTTTGTTTCATTAAAAAATAGTTTAAATTCAATGAATTTAAAAAATCATTTATATTTATTTAAAATAATGTAATAATGATAAAATTTTATATTAAAAATTGAAAATATGATATTGAATATGAATTTTAAATATCATATTATATTAAATTTAACATTTTATATATAAACGATTTTATTAAATTAATAATAACATTTATTTTAAAATTTTTAAATTTTTTTTAAATAATTTTTTCGAAAAATTTTTAATATAATTTTTTTTTATAACTTTATTATGAAAGAATATATCGTTTAATCCATAAATTCGAAAATTTCTTTTAAAATATTTATTTGATAATTAAAAAATTTTTTTTTTTGAATTTGAAGATTTGTTATTTTTTTGGATAAAAAATAAATCCAAAATAAATATAAATTTCCAAAAAAAAAATTTGAATTATTTTAATATCTTATTTCCATTTAAATTGGATTGCAAATATTTTAATATTAATGTAGAAATTTAAATAAATGAATTTTAATTAAAAATTAATGAAATTTTTCTAATGAAAATTTTAAAAAAGTTCAAATGAATGAGAAAATTTTTTTTTTTTATTTATTTTAGAACACCTTGGTAAAAATCAATTGAAGGAAAAAAATTTTAAATTTTAACTGATAAATTTTTATTTTAAAAATAAATTTTAATTTATTTCCATTTTATTTAAACTTTTAAATATAAATATTCATTGTGAAAATAAGCTATTTGGAAAAGAAATTTAATATTTTAATCAATAAGGTATTATAAAATTTCATCGATGATTCAAAATTAAAAAATATAATTTTAAAAAGAACTATTTCCAAAAATTATTCATATGTTATTCATTTTTTATTTTTTTTCATATAACCAATATTTTCTTTTTTTATTTTTTAAAAAAAGTTTTAAATTTCATTTTTATTTTCAACTATCATTGTAAAAATTTAATTTTATTCTCATAATTTACATTTTGCATTATTTATATATATCATATATTTTTATATTTTTTTTTTTTTATTTTTTTAAGCATTACGCCCCGAGCAAGGCGTGAAGCCACTAGGATGCAGGGGGTTGCAGAAGATTTGGAGCAAGAGCAGATAGGAGTGATAGAAGAAAGGATGAGGAGAAGGATAGTGGATAGATCAAGGTAACTGGAGATGTCGATTGACATTACATTTGAATAGTTGGAGATTATAGCTCTCAGGGAAACAGTAATTGGGAAGGGTGTTCCACAGGCGAGAGGTGCGAGGTATGAAGCTATTGGAGTAGAAGAGACGGCTACATTTAAAAGTTTCTACAGTGTAAAGGTGGGAGCGGGATGCCAGCCTCGTAGGGCGCTTGAATTCATGGAGTCTGGGAACCAGTGAAAGCAGCTCATCGGAGCAATTACCATGAAAGTATTTGTAGAAAAGACAGAGAGAGGCGACGGCGCGTCTGTGAGAGAGTGACTGTAGACGAGACGCCAGATCAGGGCCAATTATATTACATATCCGTCTCTGGATCTTGTCAAGAACTCCGAGGTAAACAGAAGGTACCCCAGACCATATATGGCAGCAATACTCCATGCAAGGGCGAATGGTTGATTTGTATATTTGAAGTATCGATTCCGGGAGAAAAAATTTCCTGGCGCGGCACAGAGAGCCAACTTTCCTCGCGGTGGAAGAAGCAATTGACTCAATGTATTTGTTCCATCTCAGGTCAGCAGTCAACGTGAGACCGAGCAGACGCAGGGAGTTGCTCTCAATCAGAAGTTGACTATCAGACTTATTAAACAACATTTACCTGCCTGAATGTATCTTTAATTTTCATAGAAAATATTTTTACTTCGACAGGAATCGAATATTCATGTATCCCATGTATATGGTATATCAAAAATCCTTTAAAACTTTTTATTTTTTTTTTTTTTTTACTTGTTTTAACAAGGACAAATGTCCATTTAAATTATCTCCGCGTGTCTTTTTCATTTTTTTAAGTTATTAATTTACGGTTTTCGCTTTCCGTTTATTAACATTCTGTTCGATGTAATTTTAGTTTCAATTTCGTTTTGCAATATAAATATTTTGCCATTGTTTAAATTAAATCCTATTTTTTTTTTTTGTTTTTTTTTTTTTAATTAAATATCCTATTTTTTTAAATTTCCGTCTATTTGAAGATGAATATTCGATATAAATTTTTTAAAAACATTTTATCAAAAATTGGAATCAAACATTTGAATATATTCCGGCTGGTAAATAACAATTAATACTGTTTAATTACTTCGGCTGCTACTGAATCAAATACTACTATTAAGTTTTATACTACTAATACCAATGTTTAATAGAAAACTAATAATTTTAAAAAAAAGTGGAAAATTGCTTAAATAGATTGATCGTATCTATTAAAATCTAAATAAAAACCATGAATATATTAAATAATTATCGGACTTAGGTATTTTAATAGTATATTGTCATTGTTTAAGATACCCATGTGTTTTTTAAAGAAGATGTTTTTTTTTTGAGAAGATCTCTTAATCGATTGACGAGTTAAATCGTCGGAACTTGTGTGTTTTGTGGCTCTTTTTGTCCATGAAATCAAAGCATACACTTTTCTATAGTTGTGTAACACGTTATGATCAAATGACAATTCAAATAGACCACAGGTTCGATTCCTGTTAGCAAAAACCTTTATTTTCTCCGAAATGTTTCAAATTTCAGTCCGGTAAATTTTTTAATAAAATGTTTAAGTAGATAAAGCAGAGCCTATTTACTTGGAAAAAAAAATAGCCCATATAAAAATAGAAATTATTTTTAATAATTGTTTTTTAGAAAATTTCAATTATATATATATATATATATATATACATTATATATATATATATATATATATATATATCATTAAACTCTTCATTAATTCTGACCAGTGAAACAATTCTAGATGTTTTCAATCCATTTTCTGTTAGGATTGGGCTTCATTATCCTTATAAATTTTACAGGCGTTATTATATTTAAAACAGCTTGTCTTTTGTTTAAATTTTAATAAAAATTCATTTTATTTTTTCTCAAAATGAATAGATATTTTCATAATTTGTCCCCATATTTTTGTAAAATTGACCAGTAGTTGAGGATTCCATGATGTATTTCCTGTTTAGAAATAAATAGTTTTTTAAAAAAACGATATAATATATATATATATATATATATATATATATTATATTTATAAAGATAATTGCATTCTTATATATACATTATAGATATATTTATGTTAGTAGAGAGTTTTTAAAAGTTTTTTTTTTTTGAGAACTCCAAAATGATACGATGTTTAAACATTTCTTGTATTTTTCACAGTCAAAGCTTAATCTAACAAATGGACAATTTTGATTTTTTAGAATTTGGTTCAGTTTGTTTTTTTGTACCTTTTGTGTGTAAAATGCAAATTTAATTCTAGTTTTGTATGTGACGATTTTAGCAATCCGGGAAATATTCAAAGTGCCTCTTTGTTCAACGATGGTGTAATTAATTAAATGAAAGCAGATGAGAAATCTTCTCATTATTTTTTTTTAAATGTTTTTTTTTTGTTTTTCAATTGAGCATGGCAATTAGGATTTGCGCCAATTAGAAAATTTTTAAAACATTCATATGATGGTTTAAAAAAAAAGGTATGTATCTAAAAATCTATTCAAAATACTTTCAGAGTTCTATTTGCTCATAATTTTTTAAAATAAAAAAATAACTTATTTCGTGGAAAAAACAATCTTGAAAGAGCAATTTTCGATTCAGTTTTTTTTATTTTTATATTTTCTGGATTTTTTTTTTGAATATATTTCTTAAAATATATTTCCTTCCTTGTCAAAAATACATTTCTGGTAAATATTTTGTTTTTTTCAAAATAAATTACCAGAAAATTTTTTGACTTTAAAAATTTTTAAACTTAATGAATTTTAATTTTACATTTTTCGGACTGTTGTCCTCATCTTTGTACAATTATATTTATTACAACCCGTTTATTATGGTTAAATGTTTAATTTGACATTTTTCACCTGTCCAGGTTCGGAGCGTACAACGGTCGAAACGTTGTAATAAATATGGGAATAAAGTCATAAATATGTCCATAAAAGTAAATTAAAATGCCGTTGCTATTATCTCAGAAATATAGACAGATACTAAATGAATTAATTAATAAACACTCATACATTCCATTAATGGCTCAGGATGCTGGAAAAATGGCTGGTTATCTGTGATGACTGTCTCCTCTTCTTATCTTTTATGGGAAATCATACTGATTCGAAATGTTTCGTTCTCCACGTAATTTATCTAAGATTTTTTAAATAATAAATTTCTACATTTGGAAACATTCCTTAAGGAACGTAACGCCTACAATTTCGAATAGGCTGGATTTTTTTTTTTATCTAAAAAGAAAAAAAAACACGAAAAGCACGACAAGAAGACAATTACAACGCAAGAGGTTATTGAGTGTGAAAGAATATGAGAAAAGGATATTATAGAGAAAGACTGATTGAGTGATCTGTTTGTTTAACGGCATATCAAAACCTTATGAGTCATTTAATACCAAAATATAATATTTTGGAGAGCTTATACATAATAAAATTATGATATGTCTTATTTTGCTTTCACAATGGAATATATTGTAGATAATACTCAGTTTTTGAGCATTTACATATTTTGAAGCATTCGGTTTAAGATTTTCAATACATTTTAGAGAGGATTTTCAATGAAGCATTTTTACAAAACATGTCGATTTAAATAATTGCAGAATATTATATGGATTACTGTCATGAAAACGTTCTTTCATGTTGCTTGTTTCATTTTGTTTGGAGGTATATCAACAACTCTATGGGTTATTTTTATACCGAATTCTAAATATAAATATAGGATAACCAGATTTTACGTTTCCGAGGCATATTAGACGCACAGATGTATTTTACTTCACTGCCAATTTCAGCCGGGCAAATCAAAAAAAAATTAGTAATTTAAAACTGCCAAAATAGTAATAATTATTTTTTTTGCCAAACAAGCCTGATTTTAATTAAACGAAAAAATAGGAGTAAAAAAATAAACGAGTCTATAAAAAACTTTATTATATCTAAAGGTCAGGAAAAATATAAATCAAGCAATTATTACAATTCAGCAAAACAGTACGGTTACCATTAAAATTATATTCATTTTCACATCCATAAAATTCGTCATCTTCGTTATTGAAAAAAAAATGCCGATTTTCAATACTTTGCACTATCATCGTCGTTAAATAATACGTCATCTAATTTCGGTCGAAATAGCGAATTTTAAACCAGATGGAAATTACAAAAGTAATTGAAACTCAAAAATAGTTTTTATAGTGAAAATAAAAACTCTTCATATAATGAAACTTCCAATTTATTCTTGATTACGGCATATGACTTCACTGAATTTTGAATGTTCCTCTAAATTTTAAATTATATTCATTAGGAGAGAATAAAAATATCTTTTTAGGCCTTCCTCTCAGAACATATAGCATATAAGACGCAGGGGAATTTTAAAATATATTTTTAGTAAAATATATATGCCGTCAAATAGGGCAATTTTATGTTTTCAATTACAGATATGTTGTACATAGTTTAGTACATTTAGAGTAAATGTATGTTTTTAGATATATATATATTATCGATCATAAAATGTATTGTTGATAATTTTACTATAAAAATGTATTTCTGTTTATTTTTATTATTACATTAATTTTCATTTTTCTATAAAAAATGTATTGCTGGTCATTTTATTATAACAATTTACTGTTGATGTTTTAGTCAGAGGTTCAATATTTGTCCATAGATTCGGCCATAACAGGTGCTATTTATCCGGGTCAGGATGGCCCTGGAAATAATAGCAGTTAAGTGGTGGTAGTTTCCACACTATTCCAAACCTCCAATCGCCCCATCAGAAGTATTGTCGTCAGATGCAGTTTATCGTCATACACAGGGCGAATTAAGAGAGAGAGAGAGAGAGAGAGAGAGAGAGAGAGAGAGAGAGCAATAAAATAATATGGATTAAGAACCCAGAAGAGAACCATTAATGTCATACGGTGGAGTAGATATGAGACTGTTAATCATGAGTTCTGCCATCTCGTTGTGAATTTAATTCCTGGATCAGGTAATGCAACATTGGCTCAGCAGGAATAACTCACATGACGGGAATCAAAGAACAAAACAAGAAGCGAGAACAATAAATGAACAGGAACGTAACAAGGCAAAAATATCGATAAACACTGCATTTTTTTAAAGATCAAAAATGTATTACAATTTCAGATATTTAAGACTTACTGTTATTATCTTTTCATTTCAAATACAAAATGAGAGACCTAGCTGCCAATCTAGTAATGCGGTTAAACTTTTGAAGTTGAGGTACGAAAGAGGAGAACTCATCAGAACGATTATCATAAAGATATTTATAGAAAAATCAAAGGGGAAGCTACGTTATGGCGAGAGGAAATGTCTGCGTTCAAGATGCCAAACCAAGACCGATTACGTATTAAGTTATGAAAGTCTATGATGGCATGGTGGAGAAATTCATACCGGCTCCGATTAAATAATCGGAGAGCCGAGTTCAAATTGTAATCGAATACATTACATTCATTTTCAAAAGGTATTAATCCTTTTTTTCTCTCCCCTCCCCCAAGTATGGGTAATTAGCAGGACAGACCGAGTTCTATAGCCTTGGATGGCAACTGGTCTACCGCAGAAAGAAAACGTGTCTTGTCAGTCATGTATTGAAAGATAGATGATCGTCTAAGCCTGTATTTTCTTCTTCGCGATCACACGCGTCACAAAGAAGGAGAAAGAGGTGGAGGAGGAAGAGGAGGAGGAAAGGATGAGAATAAGAAAAAGGAGAAGAAGAATGAGGAGGAGAAAGAGGAGGAGGAGGAATAAGAGGAGGAAGAGGAGAAGAATAAGAAAAAGGAGAAGAAGAATGAGGAGGAGGAAAAAAGAAGGAGAAGACGACGATGACTAAGAAGAAGAAGAAGAAGAAGAAGAAGAAGAAGAAGAAGAAGAAGAAGAAGAAGAAAATGTAAAAAAAAATGACGGTTGTTGGTCGTCGTCTAGTTCTTCGAGATATATCAAAAAGAAGAGTCTACTAGATTTACCAATAAGGTTCATAATTATACTTTTGGAATTGAAAAGGGTAATTGTCAGTTCTATTCCAAAAGTACCATTTCTCACCGTGGAACTCACTTCAAGTTTCCTGATTTCCTGTTCGCGTAGAGCTTACGGTTACATCTTGTCATTTCAACCATACCGCCAATCTAGTCCTACGCTTAAATTCTCCAAGTCAACGACCAATGAGAATGTGTATCTATCTATCTATCTATCTATCTATAGATAGATAGATACACGCCATCTCTTTGGTCGTTGACTTGAAGAATTTAAACGTTGTAGGATATGGTTTCATTTGTGGTTGAAATAACAAAATGTAAACGTAACATCTGTTATTTCACCCATACCGACAATTAGTCTCACGCTTAAATTCTTCAAGTCAACGACCAATGAGAATGTGTGTCATATCTATCTATCTATTATCTATCTATCTATCTATAGATAGATAGATACACGCTCTGGAAATTGGTCGTTGACTTGAAGAATTTAAGCGTAGGACTAGATTAATATATGGTTGAAATAACAAGATGTAACAGTCTATATATATATATATATATATATATATATATATATATATATATATATATATATATATATAAAGAGAGAGAGAGATAGATAGATAGATAGATAGATAGATAGATAGATAGATAGATAGATAGATAGGATAGATAGATAGATAGAATAGAGGAAATTGCATGTAGGCAACATGTTGGTAAAATACTTCTGGGAATATTGAATTCTTTATGCGTGCAATCGTTTGCGTGCTCGCATTCCGTTTCCAGCCAAACAT